CCCGTCTGGAGGCCTACAACGGCCATTCGGTTTATTTGAACAGCCGGTACGTTTACCCTCGGGTGCTAGCAAACTTTCCACCGCTGCGGTGAAGGTTTTGAGTGAGCTTATCTTGTGTACCTAAAGCATTTCTGTTTAAGCTGATGAATTTGTTCCCTTAGCCTTGAAGATGAGTTGCCTTCAAATTATGAAATTGGCACCGACGGTATTTCCTTAGCCAAGCTTCAAAGTTGCCAAACGCTGTCACAGATACTCGATTCAACGCCATCAATCCATTTACACTTTCTCAGTACAACCGTAATCACCTCTTTCGTATTCATAAAAACCATGTCTTGCTGGATTTTTTTTGTGATTCTTAAAATAGTTGCTTGCAACAAAACACATTATATATACAGCATATGATTTAGGAGAAGCCATACGAGAAGAAAAAGTGGGAAGACGTTGCCGAAGATCTGTCCTATCAGTCTGATTTCCAAATTCATCAAATATGTGAAAAGTTTCGTAGCACGAAGAAATTTTTGCTCTGCGAAGATTTGGCACTCGAGTCAGGAAAGTGTCAAGTGTTGGACAAGCTATTGCCGAATATCAAGGCAAAGGTACTGTAACGGTTTTGATCAGTCAACGAGTTCACTAGTTAAGTATGACGTTAATGTCAAATGCATTAAATGTTTTTTTAGGGAGATAAAGTGCTGATATTCTCGCAATTCACTTCAATGCTTGACATTCTCGAGGTGTACTTGCGCATTCGACAATATTCATTCAGACGGTTGGACGGCTCGACACCAGTGATGGATAGGTAAGTTGTTTTGACTAGTGTTACTCTGCTGGTTCCAAATCTAAATCTATCGCCCATCCGTGTAGACAAGAGATGATCAACGAGTTCAACAATGATCCGGAACTTTGTGTATTTCTTCTATCAACCCGTGCGGGAGGTTTGGGCATCAACCTGACATCAGCAAATCACATAATTCTTCATGACATCGATTTCAATCCATATAATGACAAGCAGGTAGTTGATTGATATTTGTGTTTCTAATATCTTCTATGAATGAAGCGCGTGCGGTAGTACAGGAATCAACCGGAGAGGCCGGGTCGAGTCTGAGATGAACCGGGTTATTGGGCGAAGCTTTATCCACAATGGTTGCGGACTAGTTGAACTTTCTTCTATAGTCCTGTCGAATGGTTAGAACACAGGCGATTAAAGAATGGCGCCTGGTTGGGTTCCAAATCCCAAGGAGGAAGGTGGACTAAGAGTTGGGACTATGGGGTGGGTGAAGTAATTACAGTGTGGAAAGTTCGAATGTGTAAGATTATAACAGTCACGAGCCGCCGTTTAGGTGCGAGAGCGCAGGCGGGAGCATAAATTGATGCTGTTGGAAGGACCGAGCTCAAGTCATCCGTAGACGATCCGTGGCTTGGCATTTACCAAAATGGGTGGCAAAAGCAAAACGTCTTGGTTGGGTTCCATGCATCGGAAACTGAAGAAACATGAATATGGGTGAGCAACAAGGTGGTTGATGCGAATATGGAGCTCCACTGTGGATGGACGTCCTCAAAATGGGCGGTGCTTCCCACAAAAATTCACAGCTAAATTACAAGAGAGCAACAAAAATGTAAAGAAAAAGTCAAGTCTGCGAAAGCTAGAGACCAAATGTCTGCAGTGGGCGAAGCGCAGTAGAGCAGGCGGAGTTAGAATCAAAAATTCAAAGCAAGGTTCCAGCTGACGATGAGCCAGGAGGCCGAGAGAAATAGATAAGAGACCAACTATTGAGAAGAAACAACATGTAATGGGCCGAGCGTGCACTTACCAGGAAGGTCTTTCAGGACATGGAGCCCTTTTTGAAAACGGTTTTTTGCATGATAAAGGGGCACATGCATGGAGTACAAAACTAGGCTCCATTTTTTCTGAGCGGCCCTGTGAGTGCCAAAAAAGGTATGAAAAATTGGTCGAGGGATCGGTCCCGGCTGATGACAAAATTTTGCATTTCATGTTAGCGCATGTTAAATGACTCCAAATGTTGCAGCCGATAAAAATAGGTACTGTTCTTACAATCAGGGTCAACATCAACCTTTCTGATTAGCTTTCTATCCAGAATGGCGAAAAATTGTAAATCGGCAGTCTAGAATCCGTGCGCCGAGTTAGACTGCCCGAAGGAGGCCCTATCAATATGAGCAAAATTGGCGCAATATCGCGCCTCCATCAAAAATGGACGTCAGATTCGTAATCAGCGCCTATAATTACCCTTATAGCCGCAGTTTTAGAGAAGATCAAGATTTCGGCCCGAATTCAAAAATTGGGCCATGGGTTAGCCCATAGTCAGTACGGCATGCACGCTTCCCACTTGGAGACAGCTTCGAGATGATAGCAAGCGGCACGTTTGGTTGATAGTTACACTTCCACCGCAGTTCCTGCCCATGGGGCAATCTGGCATCACCCCTTGATCTCGTCGATGCATGGCGTATGCCTGGGTGGGCACTGGCATACGTCGACGAGCATCCTGGACGTTCCTCAACGCCGGCAATCTGCCTTCAAGGGAAATGGAGTAGGTGTTCCTTGCGAAGAAAATGACAACTTCACTTTTCTGGCGTTCGTTAGATGCAGTTGGTGTGATCCGCGCCTGTGATTCAGATGCTTCATTGAGTTTTACCATAACTGCTAGTTATTTATTGCTTGTAAACGGAATTTCGTACACAACTGAAAAACATGGTACTACGAAATATCGCAGAATTGTGGGAGAAAGTTCTTGGAAATGACACCTAGGCTTTAAGTTCACGCGCAAGCACATGCAAATGCAAAAAAGTGATAATCGGAAAAATGCAAAATCCGAGCATGGAGGGGAACCGAACCAACAACTTCGAACAAACCGTGCCAACCAGAGTCCATCACGCTATCCACTCGACCATCCGACCACCGCTGTACAATGAATGTCAACGACTCTGATGAAACTTCCTTGTGCTTTTGAGCACTTATTATATACAATTTTTGGTATTGGCTTTATTCCACGCTGTTTTCAACGTTCAGGTGAAGAAAACCTTCTATTGTGCGTCCACTTAACATAACGAGTGATATAAACCACGTTGAAGGTGTGAAAACTCCGATTTCTGAAGAAATTTTTTCACTCCTTTTTTGGCATCAGAGGGCCGCTCAGAAAAAATGGAGCCTAGTTTTGTACTCCATGCATGTGCCCCTTTATCATGCAAAAAACCGTTTTCAAAAAGGGCTCCATGTCCTGAAAGACCTTCCTGGTAAGTGCCGTAGCATATCCAATCACAGGGACGCGTGGTCCTTCAACCTCGACGCTATCCTCCCAGCCTGGGGGAGGACAGGGTTTCGCTATAGCACCCGCCATTTTATGGTTGTTGCCGTAGAGACTCCTTGCTGCTGACCGCTTTATTCCCTGTTTGGTCGCATGACTCCAACTGTCGAGAGGAGGAAGGCGGAGGTATGGTGGGTCGTGGCGCATTTCTGTCTCTTTAGCTTAAGGTAACGTCCATTGTCATCGTCATCATCCGCAATCCTTCCACCACGGGATGTGCTCCCCTGGATGGAAGGATTACGTACGGTCCTTTGGCAGGGCTATAATCAAACAAACCATTTTCCCTCCACATTGCTGGCATGTGGCGCAAACGTCAGTCTGCAGAGCGGAACTATCTAGTATATGTACACATAAAACGCTGAGCTGTTATGGCATCTGTTGCGAAATTCGGTATGACCCGTAGAACCGCCCGGGAGTTGGCTAAAGTTCGGGATGGTGATTACAGAGCGCACATATAAATTGTTGAACCACGCCTAAGGTGGGCCGTTCAGATGTCTTAGCGAGACAAAACTTCCCATATTCGCTTCCACCGTGACGTGAGAAATTGCTTGAAAGTGCAATTCAGTTGGCGGGCAAGGTAAGGGATTCACGCGCAGTAGGCGGATCCTCCTTTTACTGGGTGCTGAAACCATCGAGCACTCGGAGGTGGCCAGTCGTTCCTTAGAGTGTGCCACGCACTTTGAGTTTCCAGTCCATAGTCATAATTGAGTTGAACCTCGATCACTTTGCTGAGGAAGAGACAGGCTTGTAAGGAACCCGGACGGTGCACTATCCATGATTGAATCCGGCCGCCGTAACGCGTGAAAAGCAGCACACTGTGTCACACGCACTTCTGTCCTTCTGGGCGATATTTGCACGAGATCCATCACTCGATTATACATAGTTATGTCCTAAAATAGGGGTAGCCCTGTGGTGGGCAGTCATGCTTTCACTAAGTGGGCTTACTACAAAAAATCCCAACTGCTAGGAACCTACGGGCAAGACACCAGGAAAGTTGACTAGACACCATCGAGGGACTGAAGGGTTCACCGAAAAACAATGCAACAGAGGGCATAAGCCCAACTCAAAAAACTCTGGTTCACGTTTCCCTGCCGTGAAATCCAACAAGATCACAGCTAGTGTCAGTGGAAACCAAGCGCTATACTAATTTGCTGAGGTCAATTCATTCGAAAAGAGTACGCCTTTTAGTGAGGTTTCGATAAATCTGAGTGATGTAGTCATACTAGGAGATCCGCAAGTATACGCAGACCTAGAAAATACCTGAGTGGTCCACGGGATTGGGTCGCACAGTGAGTCCTTCTAGCGGGTGTTGCTCAATAATGGCCGGAACACTTGTGTGAAAAAGTTGCCATCAGATGAGGCGAGCAGAATGACACGAACTTTTGCTTATATAGCTGTACTCAAAGTGTTGGAAGAAATATTCAAGTCAAGTCATTTATGAGCGCAAACGGGAACTGCGTCAATAACCGAAGCCTTTTCCATGAATTGACTATAAGTGACTTCAAGCTTCCTACTTAATACACCGAATCAAACCAAGCATTTTCCACATTTATATGCGTCAGCTCGCTCCCATTGTCTGCATATTTGTTGGAAAGGGTTATCTTTGAGTCTATTCTGTAAAGCTGTTCCTTGTAAGATGTGTTCTTTTAACATAATGAAAGCGATTGCTGATTATATATCCAAACTTTTAAGGCTGAAGATCGATGCCATCGCATGGGACAGGAGAAGGAGGTCTTCGTGACTCGGCTAGTCAGTAAAGATACTGTTGAGGTGGTTGTTGATTATAAAGTCATCTTGGCATCCGATGCTTTGAAATAAATCAAATCCACTTCTTTTTATTCTTCAGGCTGATATCCACTGTTTGGCGCGGAAAAAGCTACAACTTGAAAAAGCTGTAACAGATGGAATTAAAGGGCAGCTAGAAGGTGGGCTAGTTTCATTTCTGTCAATTTCTCTCACCAAATTCTCGCAAATAGGACCGATTTCAGAAAACGATGAAGTGTCACGTGGATCAGCAGAATCGAAGGAAGAGAAGCCAGACAGCGATACTTTATGCCTCCTCCTCAATAGTGCCCTCAAACGGAAGTCTCAAGACAATACGGCTTGATTGTTTGATGGAAGAATCCTGATATTTAGTTATTCATCTATGTTATTCTTTCCATATTTGGTGACCGATAACCTTATCTACCTTGATAGGTTTACATTGTTTTCGGCGAACTAACGATCTCTTGCTTTACGCCGACACCGTTCATAGTGCGGTTTTTACTCTAGGGTATTTTTCGCCGAAATTTATCATCGGCGTGTGATACGAAATAGAAACATCTTAGCGTCATTCTGATTCATATACGTCCTGTTGGTTATCAAATCGATAAGCTCAGGTTGTTCAATTTATTTCTTCGGGTTAGACAGCCGAACACGAAAATTGTAGGTTCACATGAAGTGCTTCGGCGCTCTGATATTATTTTTTGTCTTATCATCTTGTTATAGCCGTATCCAGCACAGTTGGGGTAATGTAGGACGATAGGAAAGGTGCTAGTTGTGAGCCCTTGTTATGATTGGTAACGGTGTGGGTGGCGTATCGAAGTTTTACCGCCACGCACACCTGCTAAGGTACGAAGTTGCGCCTCGTACTCTGCTGGAAACGCCTACATTAGTCGTTGACGTTCGTTTCTCACCTCAATGTTTTGGTTGTTCGTATGACTCACCACTGTTCGGTGACAACTGTACTATCTAGTACGCCCTCCGATCCTTTAGGATCTGTTAATCGTGATGAATATTGTGTTGTTATAACTATGAAAACTTGTTTCACTTTTGCAGGATCTATGTATTTTCAAATTGGCCGTGTGCACGGTATTTTTGGGAATGCCTTTCAGTACTATAAATCTAACCAACACCTGTGGTTGTTGACTCACGCTAGTGATGGTTTTGGTATCCAAAAGAAGTTCGTTGTAGCTTTTGATGGAAAATTCTTCGGTGGATATCCTGGCGGGCGAGCATGCTTGACTGACTATATCCATTATCTTACTTATATATATTTATTATTATCAGTTCGACGTTATAACAGAGGTGGCTTATAAAAATAAAACCCAAGTACCGATAGAAGAACCATCAAAGGAACTCAATCCAATGAACATCAAACAAGTGTTCAAAATAGTAGTAGTGTGAGCTAGTTGTTATATAGAAAAAAGGAACGGGGGGGGGCGGAGGGGAAGAGGCCGCCGGCAGTGGAGTGAAGGACAGCGCAGAAGGGCAGTGGGCCGCCAACACTGCAAGTTCTCACGGGCGTGAATGAGAACTCCGGATACCATCGTAGTAGGTCCGCCAACGTTGCTGAAGTCCACATGGCCACAGGCGGTAGAATGTCGAGGGGAGGAGGGGGGGGGCGCAAAAGACGCATATAAAACAACAGAAAAAAATGAAGCCAAAGCACAAGAGAGAGCACTGAGAGAAGAAGGATACAACTGCAACTTCATAAATGACCGGAACAGTTCCAAGGTACATTGGAGGAAAAATCGTAACAGCTAAATACAGAGCTTAAGTTAGAAGAAAGAATCCAGAACAGAGCAAGAACATTGAGCGATCGCATTTCCTCGTCCTTAAAAAGTGTTTATCCGGGAAATAATGCTATTAAGTTCGGGCTAACTTATAAAAATGTAGCGATGAACTTATCGAACAGACCTTACTGAGCTGGTGATTTATTGACTGGTTTCAGGATTTCCCGCTTCGTATAGAAATAAATAATGTATAAATTATAATAAATAAATAAAAATTCAAAAGAATCCACTCGTCAACCGTGTGGACCTTTGTTGCCGAAGATGAGTCGGTGCCCAGCTACACATAGCTAGCATACAATGACACGGTCGATCTTACTCGAACACATCGTCCTAAAACCACAATATGTAATTGATGAGATTTTTCTGAGAAGTTAGCGATGAGACGTCGTTGGCCTTTACAATTCGCTTAATACGTCATACTTTCTCCCAGATACTGCAGTTCCGACAAGAGTTCGGCTATGCAGCGCATTCCGAAAAGGAATCCATCAATGCCAATTGGTTTATCGATTTGTGGTTGTTTTCATCGTAGTGGTGACCTTGTGGAACCTCAATACAGTTCAAGTGCCTCAGCGACCTCAAGTGAACTCGACTGCGCGGCGCGTTCGAAAGTAATCGATCGATTATGAGTTGGTTAGCCTCCAGCTGCGGGTCGCAAACGAGGGCACAGTTTCTAGCTTGCAGAATTCCAGTGATGTTTCTATCGAGAACCCTTGTTTTTGAGGCCTCCTGGCTGCGATAATTTTGAGCACTTTCCAAGAGTCGTACTAATGTCCGTGTAAGCCTTCGTGCAGATTAATTGGTGTTTAAGATTTGGCGCAATGTGGCTCGGGGGGGGGCACCTCGAACCGTCGCGTCAAAATCACGGACCGAACGCTCCACTATTTTAGGACGTAAGCTTTGTGAAAGAGGAACTCCGGTGTCTGAAGCAATGTTCGGTGTTCCTAGTAAGACCCAAAGTGTGTGCTTTTCCAGCTACGCTCTCATCCTTTGGTTGACAGAAACCTTGTAACCAATTTTCGTATTCTCCGGAGTTCGTCCCTGCTGTTTAGGCCTAGTCCTAGATGACTTTTCCCAGAGTGCCCCCCGAGCCACATTGCGCCTAAAATTTTAACTCATTAAAAGCTTTTGAGTGAAAATATTTCGATTTTATGAGTTTTAATTAGAATTAAACTTTAAGGGGTCGAAACGGAATGGAAAGCCATCAGGTTTAAGTGCCGGATGCAATCCGCTTTTCCCTCGCACTTTGCAGTCTCGGGGTATGTCGCGGGTGGTGTGCCTAACAATCGAAGGCACCACTATGGCCATCTGGAAGTCGGCTTGCCGGCGCACCGCCCATCGCGGCTGTGGCGCCATTGTCCGGATTGGGCCCCGCGCCCGTCACTCCCTTGCACGCGGCTCGCCCCATTCGTTGCATTCGATTGGTTCCGTATTCGCCTATGCATTGAAGAGTTGCCTGGAAGGCAAGTCGATGTTACTCAGCATTGAGATATGTGGCCCTCTGTATTGTCAAGAAGGCTTTCAATGATCTCTCAGTAATTGTCTATTTATTCTAAATTCTTCGTGATGAAAAGGAAAAAGAGCAACCTGGAAGGCAACTTGCCTGTTTAATTTGCAGTTTCCCTTTGGAAACGACAACCGTTGATTTAGTGCATCGCTCAACGATTGCTTGTTCGTTGGATGAAGGAGGGAAGACCTGTATGGTCATTAAAACAGACCCTTTTCTTATTCGCTCAGCTGCGGAGCAATTCAAAGAATCCAATTCCCGTAGCATTAATAGGAGAAAGCGAGCCAATATTCAGTGAGCTAGAGCTATTGCATGTACTTCAGAAGGTCCATTGTCTTCAACTGATATAATACATGGAAATCACGAACACCTTTAACTTATTAATAAATGAATTGAATCAGCAACATTCATTGATTTCGTTTTTTACCGACGTTTATCTATCATCTCAAGGGAAGATTGTCTGGCTCACTACTGGGCTTGGCATTCTAATGTGAAAAGCACGATTTCTAAAAACGGAAATGCCGAAAGATGAGATTATTATTGAAGTAGCATAACCTCTAGTGATATAACCTGACAATATTAGAGCACCTGCGCCCACATCAGAAACGGTTTTTCCGTGACTTTGGTGCATATTGTTGAATCAATTGTCATGTTGATGTTCGTGTAAATATGATCTTGTTTCATTTGAGTTAGTTGAAGGCAGTTTAAGGTGATTTCTCTAGAGATACAATCCCTGCAGCAAGTGCGCCCTAGTAGGGAATTGCAGGACCTGCGAACGGTCGGCGCCGCGCGAACTATTGAATTGCTTTGTGAGTTATGTGATGCGTTTTATGCTTTAAATTGTAATAAATTCTTAATTTTGCTTGGATTCGTTCC